TTTTTTTTTTTTTTTTTTTTTTTGAGACAGCATCTCACTCTGTTGCCTAGGCTGCAGTGCAGTGGCGCAATCACAGCTCACTGCAGTCTCCACTTCCTAGGTCAAGGGATCCTTCCACTTCAGCCTCCTGAGTAGCTGGGACTATAGACTCGCACCATCATGCCTGGCTAATTTTTTATATTTTGTAGAGACAGGGTCTTACCATGTTGCCCAGGCTAATCTCAAACTCCTGGGCTCAATCAATCTTCTTGCCTTGGCCTCCCAATGTGCTGGGTGTAGGAGATCAGTCAGAGCGGTGGGAAAAATTATAGGAAAAGAACACAAATCTTGAAAGGTCAGAGGGTTTTGCAAAGCTCCAGGGGAGAATAAGCTGAAGGTTGCTGTTCTCTTACCCTGTGGGAGAGGCCAAGGAGTAGGTGCAAGGTAGTGTAGGGGAATTTATCTAAATAGGTTTGCTTATTTATATTGTCCGGAAACCAACCTTTGATCATTCCCACTGGAGACTGCTCCCTGTAAGGGGGAACAATAATGTTAATTACGCACCGTTTGTATTGGCTCCAGGCTTTATGTCTGTACTGAATAAAAGCAAGCAGCTCCAGCTGTTCAGGGCCGCTCTCTCTTTGGCCATTAGTGCTGGCAGCCCCCTGCCCCCCAATGAGGGTTTGTGGGATGAGCCCGGCAGCTGGGATTATAGGCTTGAGCTACCATGCCCAGCCTATTTTTTAAAAAGCTACTGATTGGGCTGGGCGTCTTGGCTCACACCTGTAATCCCAACACTTTTGGAGGCCAAGGTGAGTGGATCACTTGAGGCTAGGAGTTTGAGACCAACCTTGCCAACATGGTAAAAACCCCATCTCTACTAAAAATTTAAAAATTTAGCTGGATGTGGTGGTGCGCACCTGTAATCCTAGCTACTCTCGAGGCTGAGGCAGGAGAATCGCTTGAACCTGTGGGGTGGAGGTTGCAGTTAGCTGAGATTGTGCCACTGCACTCCAGCCTGAGCGACAGAGAGAGACCCTGTCTCACACACACACACACACATACACACACACACACAAAGCTACTAATGTTATTTTTATTATCAGTGGATTTTGATTTGAGGACCAGTGAACTGGAGAAATCAAGAGTGGAGGAAAAAAATTAATCTCATTTTCCCCTAAAATATGCATGTGAGATTAGCCATCATTATGACTTTTTTTTTTTTTTTTTTTTTTTGAGACAGAGTTTCTCACTCTTGTTACCCAGTCTGCAGTACAATGGCGTGATCTGGGCTCACTGCAACCTCTGACTCCCAGGTTCAAGCAATTCTCCTGCTTTAGCCTCCTGAGTAGCTGGGATTACAGTCACCTGCCACCATGCCTGGCTAATATTTTGTATTTTTAATATAGAGATGGTTTCACCGTGTTGGCCAAGCTGGTCTCAAACTCCTGACCTCAGGTGATCCAACTGCCTCAGCCTCTCAAAGTGCTGGGATTACATGCGTGAGCCACTGCAGCTGGCCAATTACGACTTTTAAAAAGAAAATATGGCCATTAATTTGAGGTCATGGACCAACACACTAGCGACATCAACTACCTCTCTCCCTTTTAGTCTCTTACCCTTGGCAATCTCCTCCAGTTGTTCATGGTGTTTTGGAAAAGAGTGGTTGGTACCTAATGTGACAGTGGCCACTTAATTTTCATTGGGTAGATGGCCTTGGGGCCCAAAGTTCCATGGCTTGTTCAAACGGAGGAAGCAAAGGAACTGAACAAGGAACTGACTTGGGCTCAGGAGTATGCATGTAGGCCTCCATAAAAACATCTGAATGAACACAGAGTCCACTGTGGCCAAGAAAGACAAAAATACTTGATGTGCTTGTACCCCAAGCTTCTGCCATCAGAGACAGGATGAATTTGCTTTTGTCTACTCTTTTTTTTTTTTTTTTTTGAGACAGAGTTTCACTCTTGTTACCCAGGCTGGAGTGCAATGGCGCGATCTCGGCTCACTGCAACCTCCACCTCCTGGGTTCAGGCAATTCTCCTGCCTCAGCCTCATGAGTAGCTGGGATTACAGGCATGCGCCACCATGCCCAGCTAATGTTTTGCATTTTTAGTAGAGACGGGGTTTCACAATGTTGACCAGGATGGTCTCGATCTCTTGACCTCGTGATCCACCTGCCTCGGCCTCCCAAAGTGCTGGGATTACAGGCGTGAGCCACCGCGCCCAGCAATTTGTCTACTCTTAAGATCCATGCTTTGTTTTGCTTAGAGAATAAAGTATAGCATTAATAAACACTAGTGTCTAAATCACTTTTGCAGATGGGACAGAAATTACTAGTTCCTTAGGTTTCATATCATCATATAAACCTTTATTTTTTTTGAGATAGGGCCTGGCTCTGTCATCCAGGCTGGAGTGCAGAGGCATGATCACAGTTTACTACAGCCTCAACCTGCCAGGCCAAAGCTATCTTCCCACCTCAGCCTCCTGAGTAGCTGGAACTACAAGCGTGCACCACCATGCCTGGTAAATTTTTTTTTTTTTTTTTTTTTTTTGAGATGGAGTCTCACCCAGGCTGGAGTGCAGTGGCATGATCCCAGCTCACTGCAGCCTCCACCTCCTGGGTTCCAGCAATTTTTCTTCCTCAGCCTCTCGAATGGCTGGGATTACAGGCGTGTGCCACCACACCCAGCTGATTTTTGTATTTTTAGCAGAGGCAGGGTTTCATCATTTTGGCCAGGCTGGTCTTGAACTCCTGACCTCAGGTGATCTTCCCACCTTGGCCTCACAACGTGCTAGGATTACAGGTGTGAGCCATCCTGCTTGCCCTGGTTAATTTTTGTATTTTTTGCAGAGACGGGGTCTCACTGTGTTGCCCAGGCTGGTCTCAATCTCCTAAACTCAAGCGATCCATCTGCCTTGGCCTCCAAAAGCGCTGCGATTACAGGTTTTGAGCCATCATGCCAGGCTGTGAGATGATCATAAACGAACATTCAGTGGTGTCGCTCCTAATTTACAGTAGAGGAAACGAGTGCAGAGAAGTTAAATAATTTGCCTAAGACGGCACTACTAGTAAGAAGCAAAGCTGTGGTCCAGATCCAGGTAGGCTAGGATCCAAAGTGCATACTCTGCGTGACAGTATTCTTCACTGAACGTGCTGAGTTGGGAGTGTGGGGACTTTGCAGTGAGGAATCTTTTAAGAAACCGGTAGTGATGGTTGGGGTTCTCTGATCGGGACTGCTCTTATTTGTAGTTATGACTACAAAATATGGGTAAATATAGGCAAGATCACTCAAATGCCTGAGGGTTATAAGTGCTTGGGGGAGAATGGGGTCAATGAGGTCCAAAACCATGACCTAGAAGTCATCTTGTCCTAAGTATTTTACCACTTGTGAGACAGCCAAACTGCACATGAGGTGGGGATCCTTCTGGGAGATCTACTATATGGGGCCCGTCTTTGATAGTGGAAGGAAGCTACCTTTATGTCCTCAAAAGGCCCCAGTGTGCGGTATTTCCTCGAGGAAGAAGGAGCATCAGATTGTTACGAGAGAAGAGATCTTTCACCCTGTGGCAGAACTTCCCTTTATCCCATTCGCGGATCAGGTTGCCCACGATGCAGGCCTGCCATGAAACACATCTGAATGAGCACGCAGAGTCCATTATGGTCAAGAAACAGAAAAATACTTAGTTATCATGTATGGTAATTATTTCTTAAACCTTGGATAATAGTACGGGGGCAGGCCTGCCTTTGGGGCCTGTGTTAACCCCAGTGTGCTCCCAGCCCTGAGAAACACAGTGCAGCCCACATCCCTTCGGGTTTCTTAAGTGTTGTCTTCTAAGGACTTCTTTCAGTTCCTGAATTTCACATAACTGCTACCGACGTTTTACCAGTTAGAAAAATGTCCAAAATAGAATAACCGAGAACTGGGGATGGTGGGGTGAGGAAAGCGACCCACATCATGCACAGTGAGGGTAAAGAACAGGCGGTTTCGCTGGCGAATAGAAGCTGTGGACTAATTTCAAGGCAGGGGAAGATTCAAGGATCCGCTCGGTCCGCGCTCACACTCTGCAGAGCGCGCTTCTCCGTCCAGGGCACAGCGCATTCCTGCACTGCCCGGAAAGGCTGCCCCGCTGGAGTCCGCTGCGGTGCGGGCACTGCCGCCGACACGCTTCAACCCTGGACGTAGGTGGATGCTCCCAGGAGAACCCTGATGTCCGAAGGCCACGACGAGGTGGGTCGCGAGAGGGGCGAGACCTCGGGCCACGGGGCGACAGCTGCAGTGTCGCGTCGCGCGCGGAGCTCGGCGGCGAGGAGCGCCAGGGCGCCGCCTCCGCTTCCAGGCCTGCGGGCTCCGCCGGGCGCGCGCTGCTGTCCGTCAACGCCCTCGGCCCGCCCCCGCCGGAGCTCCACCAATCGTAGCCGGGGGTCGGAGGGAGGAAGACGTCGCCGGGTGAGGAAGCGGTGGGGGGCTCGCGGCCTGGCGCGGCGGCGACCGACCCGGGCGTCAGGATCCTTAGCCGCCGGAGAGCGAAGGGGTGGGGCGGGTCCCGGAGGTGAGTGCGGCACGCGGGTGCGTGCGGGCGCCGGGAGGGGCCGCTGCGGGCGGAGCGACCCATTGCGCGCCCTCTCTAGCGCGCCCCTTGGCTGCGAAGCCCTCCTCCGCGCGCATTAGTTCCCGCGTCCCCAGCCCCGTGTGGAGGGTGCAGCTCCGGGGTCGTGGCCGGGGGCGCAGGGGCCAGGGAGGGGAGGCCCGGCTGGAAGGCGTCGGCAGCCCTGGAGCCCTGGTTTGCCACAGCGTCGCAGCTGGGAAGCTGAAGGCGAGGCGGGTACCGGCGGGGCGGGGCGGGGCTGGGAGCCGGCATCTCCATCCTCAGTTTCCTGGGCTCGGTGGAGTCCGGACCTCCGCGCCGCCGCGAAAGGCTCGCGTCCCCCGGGCACCGCCACTCACCCGGCGCAGAGCACCTGGCGACGCCTCGCTGCCCGTCTCACGTCTCTCGGCTCATCGCTGCTCTGGGCACCAGCTGCCTCTTGGCTGGCGCTGCTGTCACACGGTGGACTGCTCTGGCCTTACTGAGCTGCCGTTTGGGGACATCAGATTCAGGTCGTATGGGGAGAAAGGAGTGTAACTTTACAAAGTGTGATGTGGAGACCCTGGCCTGTTGCCCATTTCTGCCTGATGTAAGGCCAACTAGGGTGGTGATAAGGGTTCCGAGGCAGGATTTATGCAACATTTATGTAAAATTGTAAATTTTCCTTGCTTTCCATTATCTACGTTAAAGGGCGATTGTGGCCACATATCCTAAAGGGAAAGAATCACACTGCTCTGGTGGGGCTCCTCCCTCCTCACTGTGGTTAATTATCATTTGGAACATTAGGATATATTTGAAACTGGCAGGACTCCCAGACCCCGATAATTGTCTGAGTGGAGGCAGCAGCATACAATTTCTTCGTAGTGTTTAGGTTCTGCTTTTCTTTTCTTTTCTTTCTTTTTTTTGGCTTCTGACCAGAGATTCTATTCACAGCAAAGGTTCTGCTTTTCTTTGACTTTCTCAGTATTTTTTTTCCCATGTCTGTTACCCTCACAATCTCTTTGGGGCTGATAGAGTGTTGTTATTTGTTATTTGTTACTGAGAAAGGAAACGAAGGGGTAAATCACAGAACTGGGCTCGGCTGTCCCTATTGCCCCGGAATTGGGTTGTCCTGACTGGATAATTCAAACATCATTTTGAAAAGGTCATCCTTTTACCAACTGAAACAAATAACACCCCCTGGTCATTCTATACTAGTGGCTCTCCTGCCTGGCTGTGTGTTGTAATCATCTAGGGACCTTAAAAAAAAAAGCTGCTTCTTGGGCCTATTCCCACAGATTCTGGTTTAATTGGTTGAGTGGGGCGCAGTTATTGATATTTTTTAAAAATATCAATAAGCTTCCACGATGATTATTAATGTTCATGCAGGGTTGAATACCACAACCTCTCAATGTGTTCAATATTTAAAAACTAGCACTTAGTATGGTGTAACTTACATAACTGATTTTATTACTTCTCCACCTGCCATGTAACCTCCATGAATACATGGGGCCCTGCTTTGGAAGAAGGGCAAGGGAAGGTCCAGGTGAGTCAGCACTTTGGGCATGTGGGGTTGGAGGACATGAAGGAGAAGTGGCATCTGTGGAAACAAGTCTTGTAGACTACTGTCCCTGGTTCATCTTTTTTCAAGGATTGACCCCATTTGGTTAACCCATCATTGTGGTGGTCCTGGATGGGTCTCCAGTTCTTCATTCTGTAGATCCTGCCCTGTTTCAAGGTCTCACTCTGCATCCTATGAAATACAGCTACTCTTTGCAAAGCTTGAAATATAAGCATTTAAGTGTAGATACTTTTTATGTAAATCTGTGCTTTTGTCTCTTACTATTCTTCTAAACTATGTATTCTGAACTAAAGTTGCTCTGACTAGTACAATTACATTTATGTGGCTAACAGGTCAAACTATTTAGGATAGAGACTGCCTCAGAACTGGACAGTTCCCATGCAGTTGTGTCTAATATAATGTCTTTGTGGAATGGTTGCCTGAGAACATTAGCTCCCCAGGGGATATAGGGTTGCTGTCTAATTTTCATTGTTTAGTATTGAATTCAGGAATTTCCTTTGTGTTACTGACAATTGTAAATCTAAATGATGTGAGCAACTACTTTGTAATTCTCTTGTGAGATGGGGTAGAACCCTAATGGCAATCTGGGATTATTGTCACAGGCCATAATGAAGTTAGATTGGCCACTGTGAGTCTTGGATATGGAAGTAGGCTTAATAAAAATTTGGCAGAACACTTCCAGCAAATACTGGGTTCCACATGTAAGTCAGAGCATGCATTTAACTTTTTGCTTGTCCTTTGCACATATTAATAAAAATAAAACATGAATAAGTGGTGTTCTGACATTTGAAAACATGATCACTCAAGTTTAGATTCCTTGAATTATAACTTTTATCTGTACAGATACTTATTTTTTTTCTGTAGAGGAAAACAAGATCATTGAATCATTGAGCTACATAATTAGTTTTTAAGAAAAAAACATTTGGAGCTTTTATCTTTGGTTTCTATTTTTTTTCACTTATATTGCTATTTATAAAGTTTTGACCTGCAGCCAAGGTCTGAGAGTGATTTGCCAGTTTGAAGTTAATGTATTTAAATAGACAGTTACTATTTCTTATTAGTAAGGAAAAGGAAACATTCCTATCCCCACTCCTTCCACTGTATCATATATAACTCTGCCTGTAAAATTTTACTCTTAATTTCTACTATGTTTTTTTAAACTTCATTTTCAGTATCTTTAACCATTGTATCATGTGCATATTTCTGTTGCAGCAAGAAGAATGATATAAAAATGAAAAAAACATTTATGTGTGTTTCAGATGTGGCATGAAGAAAATAAGGACTGCTGGTCAAAATTGCCTGAGTTCAGAATTTCCTGCTGGAAGGAAGGTTAGACATAACTTCTGATTTCTAGTTCCAGGAAGCATCTCTTCTTGGAAAATTTCCAAAAAAGGTAAATTACATTGAATTATATATTTTTACTTCATTGGTTAATCTGAGAAACTTTGGAATCATTCCCTGCCAACACTGTTGTTCTTACTTGATTTTAAGGCTCCTTACAAATAGCTTTCTTGTTATAATGCGTAGGTTTATATTTATAGGACAATACCAGAAACCTGTTATAGGTTTTTTTTTTAAACTACAATTACCTCATGCTGTAACATAGGTTTCTTCTTTCACTTAAAAAATCTTTCAGTTTAAGTTGAATCGATTTCACCTATGATTTAATGCTTTGTTTCTCCTATATCTTATCTTTAATTTTTACTTTTAGAAATTGGTTTTATTCTTTATTTTATTTTATTTGAGACAGAGTCTCGCTCTGTTACCCAGGCTGGAGTACATTGGTGTGATCATGGTTCACTGTAGCCTCGACCTCCTAGGCTCAAACAATTCTCCTACCTCAGCCTTCTGAGTAGCTGGGACTAAGGTAAGTACCACCATGCCCAGCTAATTAATTTTTTTTTTTTTTTGTAGAGTTGGGGGTCTCACTATCTTGCCTAGGCTAGTCTTGAACTCCTGGTCTCAAGCAATCCTCCTGCCGTGGCCTCCCAAAGTGGTGGGATTACTGACATTTGCTACCATGCCTGGCCCAGCTTTATTCTTTGTGTTTTTGATTTTTATTTCCCGGTGAAAAATTGGGACATACAGATAAAGGAGAAAACAAAAACTGCCCAGAGGTGACAAGTCTTAAAATTTTAGTGTACATCTTTTCAAAGAGAGGTCTGTCTAGTGTGCCTCACATAACATCTACTTAGGTGTACAGATGGGTCTCTCAAATGTCAGTGTTCTACTTGCTTGTAGCAGAAAGTCAGGTCTTTTCCTGTCACGGTCCTCCTAAATTATTGTCAGTAGAGGTCGATAGCTGGGAGGGGCTTCTTGCGTTGCTGCCTATAGCCCTGTGGTTCTTTCACTTTAGAGTCTCCTGCCCTTGCCTTCCTTCTGCATCACTGACAGTGTTGTGTTGCTGCTGCCTGGCTGAACCACACTAATGTCCTTTAAATGGCTAGTGTCCCCACAACACATGACCACACCTGCCTATGGTGCAACTGAATTCCTGTTGGTCTTTTCCCTCTCTGGCCGTCAGGGAAAACTTGTTTTTTTTTTTTTTTAGACAACTTTTTGAGAAGGATTTCGATAGCAAAACAACTGGGTCCCTGATGACAGAGTTATCTTCTGTTTTACAGCCAGTTTCTTCCCAGAATTTATAGGCAGTATGAGGTGGATGAGTGCCTGGATATTGGAGAGGGGAGGTGTTAGGGGGCCAGAGAATGGAGAAGCACAGTCTTTCGCAGTTCCCGGCATCCCTGTGGAGGTGGCCAGGACTGGTGGATTTATTTTTCCTTAAGAAGGGACTGACATCTTGTCTAATATGAGTGTAAACTTTTCAAGGGGAATTTCTGGCACTTAGTACAGTGTGTGGTACAGAGTAGGCCTCCATAATTTTTTGTTGCATATGTAAAGAAGTAAGTACCTTGAACAAATCAGAAAAGTATGATACGTTTCACTAAGTTGCTTTTTCTCTGAAATATGGTTTTAAAAAAATATAGTCATAATTGGTATAGTCTAGTTTGAGAGATAAGAAATACAAATGGAGGGTGAGGCAGAAAAAAATACAAATAGAGATCAGCTGAGAAGTGAAAATAAGTGCTGTGGGAACTCTGAGGATGGAAAGCTTGCTGGAATGGCTCACCCTTGTCTCCTTTGTAAAGCTGATTTTCATTGGGGTTGGAAATGGTTCAGACAGGTGAGGCAGAGGAGCGAGAGAATGGGGGCTTGCCAGGTCCAACACAAAGTGGAGCAAAGCGTTGACACAGCTGAGCTATTCTGAGATACTCTGTACCATGATTTTGTACCCTGTCTGCCTTTATTTCTATGTCCTTCCCTCCATGGACAGCCTCTCTGGGGACAGAATACTAGGACATTTTCTGTTTACTTATCTCAAAATAGCAAGTGGAAAGAGCATTTGAAGTTGTTGCATGAGAGAACACTTAGGCATGGCTGACTCTCAAGTCCTCTGCTTCTAGCAGATATGGTGAAGGATTTTGGGATCCTGTTACCCATTTTTCAAGGTTGATTTTTCTACCCTCAATCTTCCAGGCAGATATGTGTCCTCCTGTGCCTTATTACTTAGCTGAGGGAGCATCAGGACCACATAAGTGGTGGGAGAGAGCTGGAAACCCAAAGAGTGTGTCCTATCTCCTACCGTACTTAGGAGTGGCACTCCTTGTTTTCCAGAGAATGTCAGGATGCTTTGCACTGTATCCCAGAGCTCTTCATGAAAACACAGTTTCCTCTTCATATTCTTTAAATGTAATTAATATAGCATTGTTATATAACTTTAAAGGGGAAGGGAAGTGATTTTATTTACTGAGATCTCTGTAGAAATTTAACAGTTACTTTTATTTCACAATTTCTGAATTTGAAGACATACTTCCTTGATTCTTAACAGTTAAAACCTAAATAGGCAATAGGGAAAATTTTATTGTATTTACGCAGAAGCCTGCACTGGGAAAGGAGACCTTGAGGAGATTGTCTGGAAATGAGAAGACATTACTGTGCTCTGGCTCTTTGCTTTCTCTTTGTGACTTTGGGCCTTAGATAAGGTTAAGGAAGAGGAAATGTAATGTTTTTCCTCTCACCCCACTCTAGGCCATTGCAGTTGGTGATGTTCTCTCATCTCCTCTCTTTGAAGGAGTTCTTTGAAGAAAAATGTGCTGCTTGAATCAACTGCAGTCTCTCCACTACATAAGAACTCTTAAGGGTACTAGCAGAATAGAAGCAAATGAAACTGAAAGCTCATCTGCAGCTCAGAAAAACAAAAACATGGAATTTTAAAGAGTGAAGGTAGCCTGGTGTCGGCCATGGGTGATCAAGATACAGCCAGACAATGTGGACCAATTTCTTCAAACTACGGCTTTTCTGCTGTCTGCTTGCAGTGTTGATGGTGGTGGTGCTGGTCGTCAATGTTACTCAGGTAGAGGTGAGTACCCAGTATAATCCCTCATAACTAAGCCAGCCCTGTCTGGGGATTTGGGCCTAACCAGCCTGGGAAAATATTGGTTATCGGAAGCTTATCCTAGTTACAGTTCTTGTTTTCATTTATTCAATAAGTATTTTAGTGCCCACAATGGTTATATACTGGGCTAGTCACTGAGGGTACACTGAAGACATTTCTTCGCTTACGGGCCTTTGATTCTAGAACTCACACTGTAAGTGTGCATGGAAGAAAATAATAAGTAATAATCACATAATAATCATAATGATGGCTGGGTGCGGTGGCTCATGCCTGTAATCCCAGCACTTTGGGAGGCTGAGGTGGGTGGATCATGAGGTCAAGAGATCAAGACCATCCTGGCCAACATGGTGAAAACCCGTCTCTACTAAAAATACAAAAATTAGTTGGGCATGGTGGCGCATGTTTGTAGTCCCAGCTACTCAGGAGGCTTAAACAATTCTCTTGTTTAAGCAAGAGAATTGCTTAAACCCAGGAGGCAGAGGTTGTGTTGAGCCTAGATTGCGCCATTGCACTCCAGCCTGGGTGACAGAGTGAGTTTCTGTCTTAAAAAAAAAATAGTAATGATAATTGGAGATTGTGAAAAGTGCAATAAGGAAAGGGAGCTATTCTAGGATAGCTTTAGAATGATGAAGGAAAAGCCTCTTCAAGGAGGGGACCTTTTAGTCGGCACATGGAAAAAAGCTGAAGGAGTATTTCAAGGGAGGGAGTAGATGGATCTGTTTTGAAGATTACTAGATGGCACTCAGGGATGGGGACCATGTCTTACTGAATCCCTCACAAGGGCCTGGCACTGAGAAGGGTCTTAGTAGTGTTCCTTCTTCCTTGCCCCCAGCCCCAACATGAACTCATATAACCAAAACTTATGGAGGAGTTCTGGATAAAAGGATGCTTTCCTTTTGTTTTGTTGGCTTGTGGTACTTCTCAGATTACATAACCAACTTAATTATGGCATTTCTTTTCTTATTAGAGGTAGCATAAGATTCTCTAAAAGCTAAGCCATAGGCTTTAGGCTTTTAAAAACATTTCTCCTGCTGGAACCAACTTTGTGGTTTTTAGGAGAACACCTGATCTCACTATGAAATGGGCACACTAAGGTCCTACAGATCTTTTTATGTGTGCAATGAGTAAAACTTGTTAGGTACTTTGGAGAATGTGAAGTAATTCTGTTAAATATTTCCTATTGGAAATAGCTTAAGGCATAAAAGGTAGGTATTACTTCCTGTTTTTCTTTGCTTAAACTGTTCTTGCATGTTTTACTATATAAGATACTACCAATTCTACACCAGTAGTTCCTTTTACCTGGTAGCTGTGGATGATGTGTCTAGGTATTTTAGAAACTCCTCTTTTTAAAAGAATTTTTTTTGTGGTAAATATATATAACATAGAATTTGTCATTTTAACCACTTTTAAGTGTACAATTGAGTAGCATTAAGTACATTCATATTGTTGTGCAACCACCAGCACCATCTATGTCTAGAACTTTTTCATCTTCCCAAACTGCAACTCTTTACCCATTAAACAGTGATTACCTAGGCCAGGCGCAGTGGCTCATGCCTGTGATACCAGCACTTTGGGAGGCTGAGGCAGGAGGAACACTTTAGGTCAGGAGTTCGAGACCAACCTGGTCAATGTGGTGAAAGCCTATCTCTACTAAAAATACAAAAATTAGCTGAGCCTGGTGGTGCACGCCTGTAATCCCAGCTGTTCGGGAAGCTGAAGCATGAGAATTGCTTGGACCTGGGAGGCAGAGGTTGCTGTGAGCCGAGATTGAACCACTACACTCCAGCTTGGGTGACGGAGAGAGACTGTCTCAAAACAAAAACAAAAACAAAAAAAACCAAAAACCCAATGACAACAAAAAACAATGATTACCCATTCCTCCGTACCCCCTGCTCCTTGGCATACACTCTTCTTTCTGTCTCTATGAACTCGACAACTCTAAGTACCTCATATAAGTGGAATCATATGGTATTTGTCTTTTTTTTTTTTTTTTTTAAGACATAGTCTCGCTCTGTTGCCCAGGCTGGAGTACAGTGGCATGATCTTGGCTCACTGCCACCTCTGCCTCCTGGGTTCAAGTGATTCTCATGCCTCAGCCTTCCAAGTAGCTGGGATTATAGGCATGTGCCACCACGCCCAGCTAATTTTTGTATTTTTAATAGAGACAGGGTTTTGCCACATTGGCCAGGCTGGTCTTGAACTCCTGACCTCAGGTGATCCACTCGCCTTGGCCTTCCAAAGTGCTGAGAATATAGGCGTGAGCCACCATGCCCAGCTCAGTAGCATTAAGTCTTATTTACATTGTCTTGAAATAGATCTCCAAAACCCCTTTTATCCTCTTAATATCTGTAGAATTGTGTTTTATCTTATTACTCCTGATCAGTCTGACCAGAGGTTTGTGTTTTATTGATCTTTTTGAAGAACCAGCTTTTGGTTTCATTATTTTTCTGTTTTCTGTTGGGTCAGTTTCCATTTTGATCTTTACTGTTTCCCTTCTTCTGTTTCCTTTGGATTTAATTGTCTCTTTCTAGTTTCTTAATGTGGTAGCTTTAGTCGTTGTTTTGAGATCTTTCTTTTCTAATTAAATGTTTAATGCTATAAATTTTCTTTTACAAGACTGGGTATGGTAGCTTATGCCTGTAATCCCAGCACTTTGGGAGAGTGAGGTGGGAGGATCACTTGAGGCCAGAAGTTTGAGACCACCCTGGGCAACATAGTGAGACCCCCATCTCTACAAAAAATTTTAAAAAATTGGCTGGGTGTAATGGTGTGTGCCTGTAATCCTAGCTACTTGGGAAGCTGACACAGGATAATCCCTTGAGCCCAGGAGTTTAAGATTATGGTTAGCTATGATCATGTCACTGCACTTCAGCTTGGGCAACAGAGTGAGACCCTGTCTTTAAAAAAATAATAAAAAAATTTATTTCTATATACTGCTCTAGTGTATACCACACATTTAGATATGATTTGTTTTCATTTTCATTTTCATTCAGCTGAACTACATTCTAATTTTCCTTTTTCTTTTCTTTAACCCATGTGTTATTTAAGTTTTTTTTTTTTTTTGAGACGAGTTTCACTCTGTCACCCAGGCTGGAGTGCAGTGGCATGCTCCTGGCTCACTGCAGCTACAACCCTTGGGCTCAAGTAATCTTCCCACCTCACCCTCCCAAGTAACTGGGACTACAGGTGTCTGACACCATACCCAGCTAATTTTTTATGTTTTTGCAGAGATGGGGTCTCACTCTGTTTTCCAGGCTTGTCTCAAACTTCTAGACTCAAACGATCCTCCTGCCTAAGCCTCCCAAAGTGCTGCAATTACAGGTGTGAGCCACTGCATCCAGCCCCATATTTAGAAGCGTTGTTTAACTTTCAAATATTTGGATATTTTGCAAATACCTTTCTGTTATTGATTCCTGATTTGGTTCCCCTGAGAACATACTTTGTATGACTTGAATTCTTTTAAAACATTATCGAGATTTGTTTATAGCACAGAATATGTTCTATTTTGATATATAGTCTATGTGTACTGGAAAGGAATGCATTCTGCTCTTACTGCATGGAGTATTCTATAAATGTCAGTTAGATCCACATGGTTCATGGTGTTGGTCGTCTTCTGTATATCCTTACTATTTTCTGCTCTATCAGTTATTGAAAGGAGAATATTGAAATCTCTGACTATAATTGTGAATTTGTCTATTTCACCTGGCATTTCTGTCAGTTTTCACTTCATGTGTTGTGAAGTTCTGTTCTTAGGTACTTAATGTTTAGAATTGTTGTGTCCTCTTGATGAATTCAGTTGCTTTACCATCACAAATTGGCCTTCTTCATCCTTGGTAAAATTCTTTGCTCTGAAATTTACTGTATATGGTATTATATAACCACTCTAGCTTTCCTTCCTTTGCTGTTAGCAAGTATATCTTTTTCCATCCTTTTGGTATTATTTTTTATTATTTTTGAGACAGGGTCATGCTCTGTTGCCCAGGCTGGAATGCAGTGGCACAATCACGACTCACCACAGCCTTTGTCTCCCACGCTCAAGCAGTCCTTCCCACTCAGCCCTTCCCACTCAGCCTCCTGAGTAGCTGGGACTACAGGCGTGTTCCACCATGCTTGGCTAATTTTGTGTATTTTCTTTTTAGATATGTGTTTTGCCATGTTGCCCAGGCTGGTCTTGAACTCCTGGGCTCAAGTGATCTGGCTGCCTTAGCCTTCTAAAGTGCTTGGACTGCAGGTTGAGTCACCACATCCAGCCAGTTTACTATTTTTTAAACCTATTTGTGTTTTTATATTTATTTATTTATTGAATTGTATTTTTAAAAAATTTTAATTTAGGTTTGAGGGTACATGTGAAGGTTTGTTACATAGGAAGCATATGTCACGGGTTTGTGTACATATTATTTCATAACCCAGGTATTAAGTCCAGTACCCTCTCTGCTCCTCTCCCTCCCCCCACTCTTTCCCATCAAGTAAACCCCTGTTGTTTCTTTCTTTGTGTTCATAAGTTCTTATCGTTTAGTTCCCAGTTATAAGTGAGAACATGCAGTATTTGGTTTTCTGTTCCTGTGTTAGTTTGCTAAGGATAATAGCCTCCAACTCCATCCATGTTCCCACAAAAAAACATGATCTTGTTCTTTCTTATGGCTGTATAGTAATCCATGCTATATATGTAATATAAGATTTTCTTATATTTCATATGGAATATATTTTCATTATCCAATCTGTTATTGATAGGCATTTAGGTTGATTCCATGTCTTTGCCATTGTGAATAGTGCTGCAGTGAACATTCACATACATACGTCTTTATGGTGGAATGATTTATATTCCACTGGGTATATACCCAGTAATAAGATTGCTGGGTGGAGCAGTAGTTCTGTTTTTAGGTCTCTGAGGAAATGCCATACTGCTTTCCACAATGATTGAACTAATTTACACTCCCACCAACTGTGTGTATGTGTTCCCTTTC